CTATTACTTGAACGTGTATGCAAAAGGACAGGCGGATGAAGCTAGAGTGTAGGACAGCAAACTTTACTGTTTCACCAAGATTCCTCCTGCTCATCTCACCTGCCTGTTATATTTATTTGAAGTAGCTTTCCATAGCATTGATTTCTTTGTTTTCGACACAAAAATATCGAAGACGTCCGGCAGGCTGCCGCTTGCAAAAGCCCAGAGGGTGATGCCTGGTCCTGAGATAACTAAACCTAGCATAAATCCTTATTCCCTGGAATTCCACACACGGAGGATCGTATTCCTGTGTCCGACAAAAGAAGCTTATGTAGTCCCACTCATATACCCCTAGTCCCAGCATTTTAACCTACGGAAACGGTGGTTATATGGTTTTGGGGGTGAGAAAATAGGATAGGCAGAGAAGGAAATTTTTAGAAGTAAATGTCAAGTGAAAGAATGTAGTAAGTTGTTTCCCGCAGCCACTGGGAGTAAGTTGTTCTGCATGTAATTGCATGGTGTGCGCGGCGCTTTGCGCCGCGGTCTATACTAATCTAACTCCAGAACGGTAAGTTGGACGTCATGTAAGTTAAAGTAGACGACCTCTTAACCACCATTTCTATTTTTCCGGAATTTCAAGAAACCTGAATTTTGATAATCGGTTTTTTTTTGTAATACGTTAAACGATAAATCAGATTAGGGAAATCTACAGATATAAATCAACAACACTTCCAAATACAATAAAATAAAAATGCATATAGCAGTTATTAAAGTATATTTCACTGCGTATCCTAATTCCCCACCCACAAAACCCTATAAACACCATTTTCGTAGGACAACATGCTGGAAGTAGGGATTAGTGAGTGGGACTACATATACTAATTTTGCTCTGTGTCCTAACTTTTTCTTCACGCCAACCGTACAATTCGTAGATGCGGTTAAATACCTGAATAAGATACGGGAAAGGGAACTCATTTTCCAGGTAATGCGGCAGTTCGAGTGTCGGTATCGATTATGTCCACTGAATGTCCCACAACGGTGTGGTGCACGGACGGTGACTTCCACTGGATTATAGTGAGAGCAAACTTGCGAGGCATCTACGTCACCCTCTCCCCTCTCTCCCAACTCGGCCCGGTATCAAGAAAGAGTCCACAAGTAATACAGGTAGCCTTGCACAAACCTCCAGAAAACACAACTATACCTGTGTCTTAACCCTTACCTTAAACCGGGGAGAGGGTCTAAAGTGGGGTGGATAGTTGCTCATCTACTTTCACTATACCTAACTACAGTCACAGTCCCTGCTCTTGGGCATATGGTGGACATCATCGATTGCGGTGATCGAACTATCGCATGACCTTAAACCTAAACGTAAATCAAATCCTCACCTTCAGATCAAATTTAGCCCTAAACCTTAACTTGACGCTGATCCTAACCTAAACAATGACACCAATTCAAATTCAATTCTGAGCCTAACAATGTTCCAAACCTTAACAGTGAACCTAATGCTGTGCCCAATCTCACACCCAAACTTATTCCGAATGGTAGGCTTCACCATAACCTTAAGCTTACCTCTGAAGCTTCTGCCCTGGAAATTAGCGCAAGACCTTGGTAGTCGTGAAGTTCCCATTCACGTGTCTTGACAATACTTTAAATGCCATTTCATGTTACTACCAGAAGGCAACATTCCGCTGTCTCAGCAAACGAGAATTAATACCTTTGGTCGGTTCAGTTAGGGATTGAAGAACGTCCAGCTGACTATGATATACCCAAACTGACCGTTCAACTGCACATTTTCTCTATTATTACTACTTCGTCAATTCAGATCTACGGCCGTATATTGTGCATGATCTTCAACTGATCACTTGACCATCCAAATGCATGATCATACGAAGTGGCATAATGTATGCTGTCTTCGTATGCCTACGTTTCTGTTTTGTGTGCTTTACATATAATTACTTTTGCCGTGCATGCCCGATAATTTGGAAGTCATTCTATCAGTGTCGTGAATTCAGCGCCTAACCATTGCAAAGACCGTTTCTATGAAAAGGGGCACTCTGGGCGTCCCAAATTACATCCTTTGTTCTCTTGTCCCCATGACCTAGTTAAAAAAAAAACTAATTCGGATCATTCATGAGGATAAAGATGCGGAAATTTGCATCTTATAGAAACTATAAATGGCAGCCCAAATTAGAATTCATGCATAACTGTCTTAATAACTTACCCCGTATCGGAGACGGGTATTGCAGGTTGCCGTGTTCTTCATTTGAAGAAGGCAGTATCAGAATGTCCTCAGCCTTCTGCATTTCCAAAACGCCTTTTTGTGACCTCGGGTATACCTTTTCCTCCTCGTTTCTTTCCTCTTCAACGACTGTAGAAGAGTTTACTTCATCTTCTCCTAGAAGAGAGCTAATCGAGTGTCTGTTAAGGCAGGGAGGCAGTGTCTGGCGCCGTTGGTTGGCAGGAATCAAACATTTTGTGGTTGGCTTTGGAGGCTGAATTCCAAGGTAAGCGGCTGCATCGATTTCACCGGCACACAACAATGACCATTCGGAGTTTGTGAGATGCTTTTGTTGTCTTTCCTGTTCCTGTCGCTGTTGATGATGGTGACGCTCCCACAACTGCTGAATTTGACTGGTTTTTTTCTCAGACATGCCATTCCTCTCAAACAATGTTGATTCGACCGGCAGTTCCAGTCCCGCTGCGCTTGCGTTTCCGTTCATCCTAAGAAACTCAAAGACTGCGGACGGTTCAGGAAGGAAGTTCCACAGAAACCTCTCCAGATTGTTTCGTTCGACAGCCAGGATGGTCGACATCTGGCTGCTGTGTCCAAGCTCCTCAGCATGCAATCTGCCGTTTGGAGTGTGGCACAGATCATCTTGTCTAGCTTGGCTCGACAGGTTGGCGAACAGTTGTGACGGCTCCTGCTCGGCTGAGCTAGCCCAAGACCGTTCCGGGATTTCTGAGAAATGCGGACTGGGGTGCACCGGAGAAGACCCCCGGCAGGTTATGGGTAGATCGAGCAGGGTGTTCCTATACAGTTGACTGTGGTGCAGTGGACAAGAACCTCGGGTTACCGCTTTAGCTCGGCCTTCTTTTGCTGAGTTGGTGCCGGTTAGCCGATATTGAGAGATGCCTCTCGGTTGTCTTTCGTTCTGAACAGCTAAAAGTGTTTCATATTATTTTGCGGATAAAATCTTCAGAGCTAAATAGCAACTTTTATGTTATACTCGCCAGGCAATCTTTAGTCCTGGAATTTTATGAAAAGTGGGAAGTGGAATGTCCGATACTTTGAAATAAAAACATCATATGGAATTTCCAATCAGCCTGAGTACTTAGAAACTTAAAGGACTCAGATTTCAAAAGCAGAAACGGTAGTTGCGGATGGGTTCAAGTTAAAAAGATTAAGTCACTCGGCGTACCGTCTTTGTTCATGCCCATTTGAATGCACTTTCTCAGCCGACAGGCCTGACACTGGTTGCGACGTTCTTTGTCTATCATACACCGGCCGGTTCCAGCTTGACACCTAGCAGAAGAAGAAGAGGAAGTCTGGTGGACCTTGCAGCATCTATTTTCATATATCAGAATCCGCATTTATAGTCTGCGGCAAAAGAGAACTGAACTCAACTAGAAACCCCAAACCTTTCTCAGTCGAAAACGTATAATCGATGCAAGGTATGTCAAACTTCACATCTGTCATAAACATTTCTGAGTCAATTTACGTACTTAAATTGAGGCTGGTTCCTTCCAAACACGGGCAAATGAGTGAATTTTAATGGGAAAATGTACTGTAGATGGCCCACCCCATTAAATCTTACGTGTTTTTTTGCATTTGAAAGGATAACCTAGGTGGTGACTAGCGTGTTGCGCAATATTTCAGTCACGCCACAATGCCGGTCTTTCAGTGATCTCCTTTCCGGCCGCATATATAAACTAGCTCCGGTAGAAAAAATAGACTACTTGAGTAGAATGAACGATTCCCAAGTAGGAGCCCGCCTCCGACACGGACACACTGCAATTATTGACTCGCAAGCGAACTGTCAAGCCATTACCGCAAGCCAATTACGACCCAAAGCGGTAGTTAGATGAGCTGATAATTATAGTACACATGCGGATGGCCGCTACGGACTACAAATACCGCGCAATCTGTGCATATATCATCCCCCACCTGCGCATGCCTCACATCAGCCTACGGTTACCAATGGTTAAGGATTCTCGACAGAATCCAACACGTCAGGAGTATGAAAGCCTTGTTACAGTAATCGCCCCTTCTTC